CATGTTGTGGTGACCCCCAACCATAAAATTATTTTCGTTGCTACTCTATAACTGTAATTTTGCTACTGTTATGAATCGTAATGTAAATACCTTTTTGTTTTCCGTCTTAGGTGACCCCTGTGAAGGGTCGTTCGACTCCCAAAGGGGTCGCGACCCACAGGTTGAGAACCGCTGCTTTAAACAAAGAACTCTGAAACTTTCTCCTATTTGCTATTCTAAAATAGGAACTATGGCAAATCAGGTCCCCACTCTCCTGTTGAGTATCTCACACTTTCTTGGTCTTTATGGCTGGAATGGCTCAGACTTTTTCATTACGTAGGGGCCAGAAGACTACTATTTTCCTTGACGTTGATTGTCGATTAGCAGAATTCTTCAACTCTACGCCCAAGAGCAGCGAAGGAGGCAGTTCTCAGTGAGGCCTTTTGTCAGTCACTGGGTGGCGAAAAGAATCAGGGTCACGATGTTATCAATTTGTTCAGCACATGTTCACCCAACGCCCACCTCGTGCCTGTCCCTGCAGCGACCAAGATCAGAGCTCGCAAGGGCGCCCGGGTCTGTGTTGGGACCCTGTACATATCCTGCTCGCAATGGTCCCGATGACGTTTTGTCATCATTATCTCCATTTCGTGGATGAGGGAGCTGAGGCAGGAGAAGCCTCTGCTCTCTGAGGCCGTGCTGGCATTGGGACGTAGCTCTTGACGTCTGTCTGTCTGTCTGTCTGTCTGTCTGTCTGTCTGTCTCCGAAGCCTCTCTTTTCCTTCCTGTTGATGCTCTCCCCCCTGACAATCTCTCCATGTCTGGAAACTAGCATGAGAGGGCGAGGCCCCAAGGGCCACTTGTTTAAGATACATGTGTTATTTGTTGTGAAGCTAGATACGTAGCAGCCAACTAGGAGGCAAAGGTTTTCATTGACCAGAAGTGCTAACAACATACCTGCCTATCATCAGCTATGTGGGAGGGCTGATCCTAAAACATGGGCCTCTTCGTGAGCTTGCTGAGTGATTTCTGAATCAGACACATCAGTGACAATTTCTTGTCATGACCTCTCATGACCACCCACCTACTGGGGGAGCCAGAACCCCAAAGATAGGAAAGACCCACCCGTCCCCGGATGGACACCGGCTGTGTGACGCTGTTTACTTACACTCTGCTCTGAGGCTCGCTCACTGCACACACCTACCAATTACGTCACCAAGTACAGGCCACTGTCGTTATCCGCGGTCGTCATGTTCTATAAGTAGCTGCAGACACAGAATCCATGAAACCTGAACTGGTGCTCCTGTGGGCAGTATAGGGAGGGGTTCCTGCCAGCCTCTGATCACGATTTATGTGTTTTTATTTAAAGACACCTTATTTCATATGTGTGTGTGTGTGTGTGTGTGTGTGTGTGTGTATTTTTATACTTAGAAACGCTAGACAGCCCTTCCACACTATGCTTGGGGCCATTTCAAACAGGAAAACCACCAGCAAAGAGGACAAAAGTGCAAAACATGTGGCACTAAGTCGACCAAAGGACACTTATTTACAGCATGAGCTGCAACGAGGCAGATCATCGTCACTTTATCCCACCTTGCCTGGGGTCATGCATGTTGGAAGGTGAATTTTTCGCTGCTCTGAGCATGCCCTGGAATAAATGCGAAACCACCAGGACGGTTAATTCGAGGGTTACAAAGAAGTGTTAGTGAGTAGGCGAATCTTTGAGAATAGTGAGGCTCTATGACAACGCGCGCCCCCCCACACACACACACCATGGTTTATTACTAGTTTCTCTTTACTCTCTCTCATCTCCTTCTCATCCGGACTTCAAAGAAAAGCCATCTGCACTTGCTGCCTCCAGTCGCCCTCGGGGCACCGATTCTGCCTGCTGTACATCCACCATTTGCCGCCTCCCTGGCCCTGTCCACCCCTTGCCCACTGAACCCCGTGGCCACACTTGATGCTGATGAGAGCGCCCTTCTTTCCTGAAATCCTCCCGGTTGCCCAGACCCAAAATCAATCCCTCTCAGACCTCCTCCTCACCCTCATCCACTCACCTAGTTCGGCTGTTCCTTCCTCTGAAACGTTTCCCAGCTCTGTCCCCTCGGCTCCATGTTTCGGCCGAATCATCTCTAGCCTGGTGTGGTCAGCATCTTCCTGCAAGTCTCGTCTTCTTCCCCTCAAGGTCACCGCTGCACCATCACCAGAGTTATGTTAACACCAGCCCTCACAGGTTAACGC